ATATCACCTAGACCGATGGATCCTGGGGTAAATACCAAAAACACACTATTCAGTACATAGTAATTTGTATTTTACTTGATGAGGCAATATATAAATAGTTATAACTTACTTAAATTACTTTGTGTATTCATACCTATTCGTTCATGTAAAACTTAGATATAATTAATGTCTCCTGGAACCCAGAACAGTCAGTTATAAACCCTATTCTACATCGCTCTCTAACCATCGAATGGACTTCTTTTACTTCTTTTAAAAAGACAACGCCCGCACTAGGAATATATCCTGTGTCGCGGGGGACTCTACAAACATACATGAAACGTACACAAAGAACACCCAGACTCAGAGCAACAATTTGTGAATCACACAAAGTGTCGTCCGATGTGGGGTTTGAACCCAAAGCACTCAGCGCAGTAGGAAGCGGCGTGGTGACCGCTTACCGGGTAGTGGCAAGCGGTCGCTACGCCGCTTCGTGGCGACTAATGGGTACACGACCATCGTAGAAATCCTTTAGACTACTGCAGGCTCATTTCCGTTTCTTCATCCGAAACCTGCATCCCTTACCCATTTCTATATACATATATTTTTTCCACTTAACACCACTTTCTATATATATATATATATATATATATATATATATATATATATATATATTTAAATTGAGAATGAATTCAACTTTTACCTCTAATAACTTTTAACAGAGTTGATTCATCGAAAAAGACATCAGACCCTTTTTGTAGAGCGTTCAATTCTCTACAAAAAAGTTTGATGAAAATTGCAGTGCAAATTATTTTTTGAAACGTCCTCGTTTATATATTAAATATATATACCCGTATATATGTAATAGCTTCTATTTCTGTCTGAAAACGATTTCATTTCATTCCTGAGCTTGGCGTCAGGCAGGAGCCTGCCATAGAAAAAACCAGTCAGGACCTTCTACAGTGCTACACATTCCATCGACCTCAAAATTAAATTGGGAAAAGGGCAAGATAGTGATGATGGTGATGATGATCTATATTTGAATTATTTGGTTTCCAAAAATAGTACGATTGTGTTTTTACATTGATATTGTTTTCCATTTACATCACATCAACAGCCTTTAATAGTCCACTGCTGGACATAGGCTTCTCCTTAGAAAGGAGGTTTTGGCCTACTATACCACACTGGCCAGACGGGTTGGTTATAGGGTTTGTGTCAAGTTTTCCTTCTCTCTGCAGTGATGTTGTCCTGCGTAGTTTTTTCCCTTAGTCGGTTCTTACGATAAATAGGGGTGGTGACACTCTGTATTCTTAATCCATCACCACACGGACCTCCGTCACCACACGGACCATTATATCTTATAAAAGCCAAAATACTATCGGTTAATAATTCATATACTTTTACAAAGTATATATACAGTTTAATATCAGTGCAAAGTAAAAAATTTATGATTCCACGAGTGTAGGTTTTTAAAGTAAAATAATTTCGAGTTAAAAGCGTTCGTGCACTCTAATGCATACAAAACACATTATGTGATCAGATTGCAAAGGTATTCTAGTGTTTCGTGTAAATAACAGGTGAATATGAGTTCATTTTTATTATTACTCTAGTATGTCGCGTGTTAACTTAACTGAAGCTTACATGAATAGATGTGGAAACAATGATTTTTAGTGCCTGTAAAAAGTATCGCAATTGTTTCATACATACTATTTGGTTGAGTTATTTGTAAATGAATTACTGTTTTATTAATCTAGCCACTGTTTTTATTATGAGAAGTGTTTATAAGGTTTAATATTACTGGTTATAACTCTTGTTTGCATATATTTTTTAAATAAATCAACAACCGTTATGTTGTAAAATATTTATATATAAACTAATTAATTAGTAATTCATTAATTTATTAAGCCAAAGGTGAGTCAGAAGGCCACCTACAATTTTTTCCTAGACCTACCCTAAAGTTGTCAAATAGGTATTAAAGAAATGAATAGAAAAAGAAACAAAACATTGCTTTATTAATCGATATTTATTGAAATATTGTAGTGAGCGAAATAGCACCTATCTGTAAATAAATACTTTATAAAAAAAGTTAAACCGACTTCAAACAATACTAACAAAGAGCACTAAAAATTAAAAAATAATTACAATTCTATTTAAAAAAACTAAAATAAGTGCGGGCCTCAATATAACAGTAGTCCAACTCTCGTAATAAAAGTTCGGTCACAATTCAGTTCCGATTAAGTTTCGATCTCACAACTGTAATAAAACGTATTATGGTTGTAAAATAATGTTACTAAGACGAGCAGATTTCCGATTAAATTTTTGATTACAATACAATAATATAATCACATTACAGTCGATGTTGGATGTTTAATACTTTACTACGTAAATACCTTTTATGACAGTACACACAGGACAGGACAGTACACACTGGAACTGAATTAAGACTTTTTTCTTTATGGCAGACGAGATATATAAGAATATTGATATCTTCTAGTCTGTTTTAAGTAGCCGCCATTGATATGTTTGTATTGAGATTTGAGATAATGCGTTGGTAGATACGATATTTAAACACTACCTACTACTGTACGTAGTGTTTTAAATTACATAACATACATAAAAAAAATTATATTATCAGACTGTAGTGTGTTAGATTATATTAAATTTAGTTTAATAAGTCCGTTACTTTATTTAGATAAGGTAGTAAGATGTTAAATTTTAACCCGAAAATATATTGTTTGCCACATTACTTAATTTTTCACTTTAAGGAGTGTTTTTTTTTCACATTTGAATGGGACAATATACTCTTCATAAGAAAGAAGAGAATTTACCAAATCGGTTTACAAATGAAAGAGTTTTAAGGTAACAAACATGAAAAAAATTGCGTAACAAACATTTTTTTCCTAAAAATGTTTTGTAATCTCATTTTTTACATTATTGTGCACATATCTGTGTAACCCAACAGAAACACTTAAAAAAATATCTTGAAAGAATAAAACAAGGTCTAACTCTAGCTCTAACTCTTAAAGGACAAGGACCCTTCCATCATCAGCTCAGAAACACGAGATAACGACTACCTGTATAACTAGAACTAACTTTGAGGGCATCCCTTTATTTCTCTAAGATCTCATCATCAGATCATGATTTCGTGGTAATGAGAACACCTCAGGAGTATACTCTTTTGATTAAAAGAGTTTTTTTTAACCGGTACACAATTGACGGATCGGTTAAAAAAAGGAGAAAATTAAAATGTTGTAAAAGACATGCTAATCCTATGGATATTATTTGCCCTCATGGACGTGAAAAATAAATCAAAATTCATAATTTATTTATTTGCTGATCAAAGGTGTACAACGGTGTTACATTTTTCTTTATACATGGCCTCTTTGGTCTACCGTAACGGTATGCAAAAATAATTGTCCATTGATTTAGAATAATAAATTCCATTTGTCAATAAACATATCAAATAAAAAAGTCAGCCAGTCAGTATACATTTCAAAATATTACAATTAAACTTTAAATTACAATTTTTTTTTTTTAATTAAGCAACGGCAAATATGATCATCCCAACTAGTAATAATGCAAATATATTCTTATTTTCTTGAGAGAAAGTCACTTATTGCATAGTAGCATTTCTTTACTAAAAAGTCATGAAGGCGCCATGCAGAAGACGCTTTTATGCAATAAAGTTGTATTTGCTTTGTGTATGCGAAGCCTATCGCGTGTATATATCCTTCTACATCGTGTAACAGTGTCTGCCTAAGTCTCAAATGATTCAGGATTTAATTTTATAAAAGTTGCTGTTTCAAATATATTATAAAGATGGTAAAGTTAAGATATCGTGCCTGTCCAGATAAACCACCAAATATTATTATAATTAAAGAAATGTACATAAGACATAGAAATGTAAGTTAACATAAGAGTCGTATAAGTCTAAAGATAAGTTGTTTGTTTTTGTTTAACGGCGAATCCGATAGATGGCGTTGTTAAGTAATGCTGAATCGCGATATGGTTTCGTTCACTACGGTACCATAAATAGTTTTAAGAATTGTTGTCAAGGCAAGAACCCGAACTGTTCTGAAAAATACACATCTTGTTATTATTAACAGTGGTATTATTTCTCACCTACGGAATTCAAATTTCGTTCATGGTCCTTACGTGCCGGAAGACTGGACGTGTTCAGTAGTCATCGGTGGTGTAGTGTACCCCCTACGTCATTACTGGACAGTGGATCGCTGTCCAGAGCAACCCCACAGCTCGGCGCCAGGAGCCGTGTGACTGAGCTGGAGGTACCGGATCGCAGCATCCGGAGGAAGGACGTACGGGAGGAGGATACTTTGGCAGAAGAAATGAAATGAAATGAAATGATAATTTAATTGCAGAAATATGGTACATGGGCTGTTTATAGTTATTAGAAGAGAATCACATATTTCGTCAGTCTGTTCTGACATGCAAAATTTGAAACATACATGCATATTACAACAAAAGATTGATTTAATAACAAACTACTAAGCTCATGTCAATAAACAATTTACATAATGTCAAATATATAATTGCAATGTCAAATTTTTAATCCGATAATTTAATTCTAATATAGAACACAATATACAATAAAATATTATCAAGTGCTTTTGTATTTATCGCTCGTTTAGGTATTCGGTCACTGAGTACAGTAGAACTCCAATTATCCGAACTCCGACTATCCGAATCGCCGATTATCCGAATCACAAAAAATTGTCCAAAAAAAGTCTAAGTGCGCTATTATTCTTCCGCCCGCGAAGCCAGTGTTTGCGCGTCAAGTCTTGACTTGACTTGTCTTAACTTGCCGTTGTGCCTACACTGACTTCCCCCCGCGTGTGTAGGTACAACGGCAAGTTAAGACAAGTTCCGGCGCATTGCAGTCACGGCGCACCTGTCATTGTTTGTTTTGATTAGCCAGTGTGCTATTGACTTTGCTCGAGGACGCTACTCTTTCGCTACGGCTTACTTTTGTTTGTGCGTGTACAATACTGTATTGTTTTTATACCATGGCTTCGAAAAGAAAACGTGTTGTGCTATCGTTAGCGGACAAACTGAAAATTATAGAGCAACTCGATAAAGGTGTAACGGGTAAGAAGTTGTCTGAGATTTATGGTGTTGGACAAGCAACAATTTCTGACATTAAAAACAGTAAGTCAACACTTTTAAACTTTGTTTCGGTGCTTGAAAATGAAGATGGAAGTTCCTCCAGGAAAACAATGAAGACAGCAACCAACAAAAATTTGGAAGATGCCGTGTTTAAATGGTTTTTGCAGCAACGTTCTATGGGAAATCCGATTTCAGGTCCAATCCTTTGTGAAAAAGCCAAAATCTTAGCAGAAAAGCTTGGTTATTCATCTTTTAAGGCTAGTAACGGCTGGCTAAGGAATTTTAAATTCAGGCATGGTGTACGCGAGTTAGATTTGGCTGGTGAGAAGCTTTCAGCAGACTCTGCAGCTGCTGAAAATTTTATTGAAAAATTTAAAACTGCATCAGAATCCTATGATCCGGAGTTTGTTTATAATGCCGATGAAACTGGCCTTGTTTGGAAAGCATTACCAAAAACCACTTTGGCTTCTAAAAGGGAATCTAGTGCCCCTGGACATAAGGTCAGTAAAGAACGTGTTACAGTGCTTAACTGTGCCAACTCCACTGGAAATCATAAACTGCCACTTCTTTTGATAGGAAAATCAAGAAATCCAAGAGCATTTAAAAACGTAAAAAAACTTCCACTCTTCTACAAAAGTCAACCCAAGGCCTGGATGACTGCAGCTTTGTTTACCGAATGGTATGATGAAGTGTTTATTCCTGAAGTGAAAAAGCACCAAAAATCGGTGGGAAAAGAAGGCAGTAAGGTGCTTTTAATTGTTGATAACGCACCCACTCATCCTACAGCAGAACTGTTGGAAAGAGAGAATGGGCAGTTTAAAACGACGTTTTTGCCTCCCAATGTTACAAGTTTGCTGCAACCCATGGACCAGTCTGTTATTGAAACAATGAAGCGCCATTACAGAAGGCAACTGCTGAGGAAACTGCTGATCGAAGGTGCTGAAGATGAAGAATTGGTTTTGGCAAATCATAGCAAAATAAATTTAAAGGACTGCTGTTACATGGTAGCGGAAGCTTGGAGTTTGGTTACGGCAGTGACGCTAAGACGTGCGTGGAATAAACTGAAAGGCCTACCGTCTGAGAAGAACAAAAAAAAAGAATCTGAAGAAAATGAGAAACAAGAATATGGAGAGGATGATGATGATAAAGATGCGTTGTCACTAGAGGAAATAAGAAAAATGATTGTAAAAATTCCTGGTTGTACAGAAGTAAGTGCTGAAGATGTAGGAGAGTGGATGGCTTGTGACACGTCTGACCCTGGTTTTCAAATTCTCAATGACGATGAAATTGTTGTAAGTGTGAGAGAAGATGTTGAAGTGGAAGTGGAAGAAGAACTTTCTGCTGATGTTGAAGTAGACGCTGGACCATCAGCTAGTGAAGCATTTGCCGGCCTCGAGACTGCTTTGAAGTGGATGGAGCGTCAGCCCGAGTGTGACCACTTGCAACTGCTCACCGTCAAGCGAATGCGTGACCTGGCTGCCCGAAAACGGTTGAAGACCGCAAAACAGCTTACATTGACGGAGATGTTTAAAAAACAATGATTTTTATTTCTAAACTTGTACATAAGTACATTTTATTTATATTTAAAACATGTGAAAATTTCATGTTTCTTTCATTTAATTCAATAAAAAAATAGTGCAATATCAAAACGTAGCTTTTATTCTCTCCAATGGCAATTTTTTTTTAAAAAATCCGATTATCCGAATATTTGATTATCCGAATGGGTCCCGGTCCCCATTAATTCGGATAATTGGAGTTCTACTGTATATCATTTTTTCCAAAAGCCATGTTTTCAATTTCCTTTTAAATTTCAGTAGGGGCAACGCCTTTATGGTTGGTGGCAAGCTATTAAATATTTTGATACACATATTATAACAATTTTTTTGGAATAGTGTAGTTCTGGGAACAAAATCCAGGACTAGTCTTTCACTGCCCCGAGTGTTGCGTGGGAACATATCTTTTGCCTTTTTAAATAAACCAGGGTTTCTTTTAACAAAAACACTTACTTCAAAGATGTACAAACAGGGCAACGGTAATATTTCATATTTTCTAAAATAAAGTTTGCAAGATTCATAAGGAGGAATGCCCACCATAGCCCGAACACATCTCTTCTGGGATAAAAACGCTCGAGTAGCATCTACTGAGTTTCCCCACAACAATAGACCGTATCTCAATACAGAACCTACGTGACCATGATAGGCGAGAAGTACTGTCTGCTGAGTAGCGGTTTTTCTTAGTCGGTTAAGCACGTAAACAAAACTATTAACTCTTTTGCAGACTGAATCGACGTGTGTCTTCCAGTTGCAATATTTATCTAATGATAATCCTAGAAACCTTACGCATTCCGTTTCCTCTATAACAGTATCGCCATATCTTATTTCTCTAAGATTTAGTTTTGAGCTTTGTGTTTGGAATTGTATGAAATTGGTTTTGGAAAGATTAGCATTTAAGTTATTATTTTTTAGCCATTCTATTACGGATTTTATTGTATTATTAATATCAATGTCATAATTTGTACCAATTTTAGATGTCAATATAATTGAAATGTCGTCAGCAAATAATATACATTTATGAGTAGTTATGTCTGGTAAGTCATTAATATAGACTAAGAATAGTAATGGTCCCAATATACTTCCTTGAGGAACCCCATATTTGTTAGTTAAAAGTGCGGACCTCTCCCTAGTGATCACTGAATTATCATTTTTAATTATATCCACACATTGTTCGCGATTCTTCAGGTAACATTTAATCCATTCATGTGCTGGGCCTCGAATTCCGTAATTCTCAAGTTTTTCAAGTAGCAGCTGATGCGAAACATGGTCAAAGGCTTTTGTCATGTCAAAGAATATTACTATTGTAGGTTTTTTAGTGTCTACATTTTTCAGGACATTGTAGATTAATTGAAAAGCTGCTAGTGTAGTTGATTTGCCTCTCTGGAACCCATTTTGTTCTTCTTTTATAAATTTAAACCTATTTAGGTACGTAGTCAGCCTTTTATGCATCGCTTTCTCAAATACTTTTGACAAGATCGGTATTAATGTAATGGGTCTATAATTGCTGAGTTCAAGTTTGTCGCCTTTTTTGTATAATGGTTTCACTATGGATTTTTTTAAACTTTCAGGGAATACACCTGTTTCAAAAGAGAGGTTAATTAAATGTGTAATGACAGGTACTATTTCATAAACACATTGTTTGAGTATATAAGTTGTCACCTCGTCAATTCCTACGGAATTGGTATTGTTTAAGGACATTATTATATTCTTTACCTCTGTAAAATCCGCAGGTTCTAAGAATATACTACTCAGGGCTCTAGTTTTATTTGTGTTGTGAGTCTTTTTTACGTTTCTAGTGGTTGATGCTATAAGATGTTCATTGAATCGATTTGCTATATCTATTGGCTGTTGAATTAGTTTACCATCCACTCTAATTTCTGATATTATATCGTGTGTAAAAATGTTGCCGACATCGTCGTTGATAATTTTCCACGCAGTTCTACATATATTTGTGGAGTTCTGTAAAATGTTTTCATTGTAAATCTTTTGTGATTTATTGATACATTTTCGTAAGATTTTTGAGTATTGATGATATTTACTTTTACACTCTTTTGTTTTCTGAGTGTAGAATCTCATACGCAAGGATCTCTTTGTTTTTAAGCTACTTCTTAAGCCTCTTGTTATCCATTTTAAATCTCGTTTCTTTGTGATAAGCCGTTTTTGAAATGCAGGAAAACATAAATTATAAAAAAGGCAAAAGTCGTCATAGAAGAAATCGAACGCTACATTTAGGTCAGTATTGGAAAACGCATCCTTAAAACTTAAACTTTGAAGACATTCACAAAATTTTCTAACATTTTCTTTTGAGTAATCACGCCTGGTTACCGTTATCTTGGTAGGTTGCGAAATATCTTTTGCCATAGGGATGCTTAAAAGTTGAGCGTCGTGATCAGAGAGACCCAGTTTGAGAACTTCACCTTTAGCTTGTTTCATATTACATGGTCAATACAAGTATTAATTCTAGTCGGTTCCTTTATCAGAGAAGTCAAATTATAATTTCGTAAAATGTCATTTAAATTTTGTACAATTCTATTATTAATAAGTATATTTATATTTAGGTCTCCTACAAGTATCAGTTTGCGTTTTATATTGCGATAGCATAAGAGTTTGAACATCAATGTATCAAGGTGCTTCAAAAAGAGGTCTACATTTGACTGAGGTGTTCGATATATACATATTATAATTAGTTGTAATTTATTGATTTCTATACCACAACACTCAAACACTCTCTCTCGTGAAAACGATCTTATGCCTAACAATTCATTATATTTAATACCTTTTTGAATATATATGCAAACTCCCCCTCTTGATTTTGATCTACAATATATTGCTCCTAATTCGTATCCAGTTAATCTGGAGTTCCGTATGTCTGCATCTTTTAAAAATGTTTCAGAGAAACATAATACCTCAGGTAGTTTATTATTGTTATGAAGATCCGTAAGTGTCATTTCAATCCGGTCTTTTTTATATACTAAGCCAGCAATATTCTGGTGGAAGACACCAAACGCCCCTTTTGTATCACATAGTTTAGTCGGTACAAAAAAAATTATAGTTCGACGTTTGTGGAGAGCTCGTGTTATGTGTAGAGGAAGTTTTACATACATTCGGACCACGGGAAGGACTCTCCCCCCCCCTGAAGCCTTGGAAGACGGCGAAGGGCGGTTTAATGTGTTGGCTACAGCTGTCAGTCAACTCTTTATCTTTTTTAACAATTGGAAAATAGTCCGGTATAGTTTTTTGTTTAAGAAGAGTTGTTGTACTTAATTTACTAGAGAAAAGTAGTACTGATTTAGAGTTATTTTGTACATCTCTGAGGCGTAGTTTAATGTGTTTTATATATTTTAAATTATAATCATATTGATCAATTGTTACATTAATCAAATTGCACCATTTACATAGAGTATCGATAGTGTAGTTTTCATTATAATAATTATTGTTATTGTGTAATGTAACAAAATTGCAACTAGTAAACTGTGAGCATATTAGCTTTAACATTTCATTCAGTTTAGATTCATTTAAATACTTATTTTGCGTTATCCCTAAGACAATAACATGGTGGTTTTGAAGTAGTTTCAATGCAGCTGAGAGTTCCGACGTTATGTGCATAGGGTTGTCATCATGCTCGCCGATAGACAATATGAATTTATCTCCGTCTTGAAATTTAGTGGAGTAAAGAGGTCTTAATATTTCCATAGAAGTTGCTTCTGGTTTTATGATACTTGAAAATGAGTATTTTTCATGGCGTGTATTCAGGCGTGACTTGGTAAGCATGATCGATAAATGGCGACATTGACGGCCTCCGAAGATGTAAGTATTTCTCACGCTTTCAAAATTAGTTTTGTTAGTATTTGCCTCTTGACACAGCTCACCTGTAGTTTGTAGGGTTTCTGGTTCCAAAATATTATTTTGATCCACAACAGTACCACTCTCAGTTCGTGAGACATCGTCTTTAGAGTCTATAAATCTAGTATTGTCCATCAGAACACGTCGGGATATTCTTCGCTTAGAATTCACTTGTTGTTTGTAAGTCTGTGTGGGCGTTTTACAAATCTCCTTAAGAGAGGAAATTTGTTGTTTTTGTGCTGTAATCATATTTTTCAGTTGGTTGACTTCCAGATGTAAGTTGTCAATTTCATGATTAGCAGTATCCAATTGTTGTTTTAATTGCTTATTATATTGAAGGTGCAGTAAACGCTACAGGGCGCCATATGGAGCTGGCGTAACTTCGAAATATTGTGACAGTGAGTGCGGTGATAAATTGTGAGTACATTTTAAACCTTATATGTTGGAGTAGATTAACTTAGCAATTTTGAAATTATTTGGAAGAGTGTATTTAAATTGCAACTTTAAAATCAAGACTAGTGGAACTTAGAAACAAATTTGGCAATAGTGAAGATTTGGACTTAGAATAATTTTAAGTAGTTTAGACTTGTATTAGTTTTAAGTAAAAAGTGGTTGAGACGGGGAACCTATACCCGATTTAACTAAAATTTTATAAATTTCAAACACTTGTAAAATTTTAAGGATTTTATTTGTACTTAGAGTAATTTTCATTTAGGTAAATTGTACATTGGTTTCTTAAGTAGAATTATTGGAGTATATTAGATAGATATTTGCAAGTGTTCTTATTTATTATTGTTTTATATGAATTAGTTGTATTAATTAGTGAAATATTCATACAGTTGCCTAAGTAGTTGTGTATCAGTGCTTTGGTTAGATACTTTTATTAGAATTAAAAATGGAATCACTTAACAATATTCAGGAGGACATTAAGCTTAAAATGTTTAAAGCTAAAACAAATTTTAAAAAGTCCCCAAAAGAACGCTTATCGGTTTCGTATATCGAAACCAGAATTGATAATTTAGACCAACAATGGGCATTGTTACACAAACTCATTCTCAAATTATAAGTACAGTAAAAAGATCGGAATATAGTAGTTCTGAGTATTACAAAAACGATGTTTACGATAGTGTTGAGGAGTTTTATGTACAATTTAAGGCTGAATTGAAGGAGATGCTAAGTGAGGATACTTCTAAGTGTTTATCGTCGAGTCAGCAATCATGTTGCCATAGTGAAAAAGTAGCTCGTAGAGTCAAATTGCCTGAAATAAAAATTCCTATGTTCTCTGGTAAATATTCAGAGTGGCAAACATTTAGAGATTTGTTTGTAGGATTGGTGCACGAAGATAAATCTCTGGATGATGCACAAAAGTTGTTTTACTTAAAAGGGCAATTGAGCGGGGAAGCTGAACAACTGTTGCGCAATATTAAAGTTTACAAAAATGCTTGGGAGAAACTGCATAAAATGTATAATAATAGGAAATTTCTGACTAATGGTATCCTCAAACGACTATTAAATCAAAGGTCATTAACATCTGAATCTGCATTCGATATTAAGGGATTAATCAATACCACTTCTGAATGTTTAGACTCCATTAAAGCCTTAGGGGTGGATATATCCTCCTGTGATATTCTAATTATCCATATTATAAGCGCTAAACTAGACCCGGCCACTAAAAAGGCTTTGGAATTACAGGTCTCTTCAGACCAAGCCGATGAATTGCCAACGTTTGAACAATTTTCTGACTTTCTAACAGGTCGCTTTAGAGGTTTAGAAAACTTAGATACCAAGCCACGGATTGAGAAAAGGCTTAACTGTAAGTCATTTCATATTGTTAAATCTAAAACTACTGAGTCTTGTGCGTATTGTTCTGCAGATCATAAAATTACTGCCTGTAAAGCATTTGGTAAGGAATCAAATATGAGTCGACGCGAATTCGCTATGAATAAAAAATTGTGTTTTGTATGTTTAAATAGTAACCATTCTGCCAAGTATTGTAAGAACATTGTCCGGTGTCAGGTGTGCAAACGCCGCCACCATTCATCAACCGATTTTAAGACGTAGGCATTAACATTAATCTGAAATCGTTCAGATTAATGTTAATGCCTACGTCTTAAAATCGGTTACGTCCCTTCTCCCAGTTGCCAAGGTAACTAGAGTAGAATGGGTAAACCTAAATGTGGGTGATTTGGCTGATCCTGAATACCACAGGCCCAATAAAATTGACATTTTGTTAGGTGCTGAGGTATATGGCCAAATTCTCAAAGAGGGCATTAACCGCAATCCGAATAAATCTCTTTTAGCTCAAGATACCGCTTTCGGATGGATACTATCGGGCATCTGTGAGGTGGAGAACTCAGGAAATATTAATTCACACATCACTGTTATGCATTCAACTCAGAATGATGAGTTGTTAAGAAAGTTTTGGGAGTTGGAAGCTGAACCATTGGAAATTAAAAAGAGGTTTACAGAAGAAGAAAGTAAATGTGAGAAGTTTTACACAGCCACAACAAAACGGAACGCTTGTGGTCGCTACGTCGTCAGATTACCATTCCGTGATGCTGACCCGGACTGCAAGTCTGGTGAGTCAAGAAAAATAGCTGAAAATAGATTAAGAGGATTAGAATTCAAATTAGGTAAAAACATAACATTAAAAAATGAGTATACTAAAGTTATTAACGAATATTTAGAGCTTAATCACATGCGAAAAGTTACCGGTTTAGAAAAAAGAAATAAAGAAGCTGTATACTTACCTCACCACGCAGTTGTCCGGGAGGATAAGACCACAACAAAGGTCAGGGTCGTGTTTGATGCTTCCTGTAAAGGGACTAACGGAAGATCTCTTAATGATGATTTAATGGTTGGTCCATCTTTACAGGCTGAACTCCGTCATACTATTATGTGTTGGAGAAAGTATAAAATATGTCTAGTCGCCGACATAATAAAAATGTATCGGCAGGTTTTAGTTGACAGTAGAGATAGCTCATTTCAACGAATCCTTTGGAGGGAGAATCCTGAAGACGATATAGAAGAATACGAATTGGTAACAGTGACATTCGGAACTGCATCAGCGCCATATTTGGCTGTGCGGACACTTCAACAGGTTGCAAATGATGAGTGTCAGAATAGTCCTGAAATATCAAGGATAGTTTTGAATGACTTCTATATGGATGATCTGATGACAGGAGCTGAAAATATCGAAAACTGTTTTAATATTTATAGTGAGCTGACTAGAGTATTGCTTAAGGGAGGGTTTCAGTTGCAGAAGTGGATTAGTAATAGCAAGGAGTTATTAGATAAGATAAGGAAGGAAAATAAGTGGCAGGATGAGGATTTAAAGATAAGGGCAGATAATATTACAAAGATTTTGGGTCTTACCTGGAATCCTCGCGAAGACGTCTTCCAATACAAAGTCGATCTTGCTCCACTTAGTAAACCTGCAACAAAAAGAAAGATTATTTCGGATATTTCACGGCTGTTTGATCCTCTTGGATGGCTAGCACCATGTATAATTGTAGCAAAAATACTAATTCAGAAGCTGTGGTTATCCGGAGTTAAATGGGACTAAGAAGTTCCCAGCAATTTATTAAGAG